TGGACACAAGTCAGATATCAGGAATGGCAATATACAAAAGCACGTAGGAGAACACTTCAATCTCCCTGGCCACACAATAGCAGATGTAAAGGTAGCCATCTTATAGCAAAAAAACTTCAGGACCAGACTCCAAAGAGAAACTGCTGAGCTCCAGTTCATTTGCAAATTTGACACCTTCAGATCAGGATTAAACAAAGACTGTGAATGGCTATCCAACTACAGAAGCAGTTTCTCCTCCCTTGGTGTTCACACCTCAACTGCTAGCAGAGCACCTCACCCTCCCTGATTGAACTAACCTCGTTATCTCCATACTGATTTATACCTGCCTCTGGAGACTTCCCTTACTTGCATCTGAAGAAGTGAGGTTCTTACCCACGAAACCTTATGCTCCCAATACTTCTGTTAGTCTCAAAGGTGCCACAGGACCCTCTGTTGCTTTTTACAGATTCAGACTAACACGGCTACCCCTCTGATACTATTTTTAGGTAGTGTTGGTAACCTAGGACTAGCTAGGCTAGCTGTCTTTGATTCTCTTCAGAATTCCTCAATATCTTCAGGTTTCAGAGTAGCAGCCATGTTAGTCTGTATCTGCAAAAAGAACAGGAGTACTTGTGGCACCTTAGAGACTAACAAATTTATTAGAGCATAAGCTTTCGTGGGCTACAAGCCACTTCTTTGGATGCATCTGCAGCTAACGATGCGCAATGGGACTTGTACAGCGTGATTTCTATAATTGCAACTTTTTTTACGTCTAATGAACCTATGTATAAAATATTTGAGATCATGAACAAACACCAGCTTACATTTTTGGGAAATTCCTGTCCAAGGTGATGGCCTGTTATAATGTACTTACACTATCCCTTTAATAATATTCAATATATGCTGCCATCTAGTGGGCATTTCTGAAAATAGCTGCCCATATATCACCCTTACAACATGCTTTCACTTAGGGAAGAAAAACTAAATGCACAAAGGCAGAATGGGGAATAAATGGCTTGGCAGCAGTACTCCTGAGAAGGATCTGGGAGTGGTGGTGCATCACAGCCTCAACATGAGTCAGCAATGCAATGCTGTTGCAAAAAACAGTTAGGTTGCTTTAACAGAGGCATAACATGCAAATCTCGGGAGGTGATAGTACCACTCTGCTTGGCTCTGGTTAGGCTTCAGCTGGAGACTGTGTCCAATTTTGGTCACCAATGTATAGAAAGGATGTAGAGAAACTGGAAAGGATCTAGAGGCGAGCGACAAAGATGATCAAAGGGATGGAATGCAAGCCATAAGAGCAAAGGCTGAAGAACTGGGTATGTTTAGCTTGGAAAAGAGGAGAGTAAGGGGGAACATGATAGTGGTCGTCAAATACTTGAAAAGCTGCCATAAAATTTTTTCTCTCTTGCCACGGAGGGCGGGACAGGAGGCAATGGGTTCAAACTGCAGCATAGCAGATTTAGATTAAACCTCAGGGAAAAACTACCTAATAGTAAAGACAGTAGGTCAATGGAACAGATAGCTTAGGGAAGTCGTGGAATCTCCTTCACTGGAAGTTTTCAAAAGGAGGCTGGACAGCCATCAGTCTTGGATGGCTGAGAATCAACAAATCCTGTATTTTGGAAGGGAGTTAGACTAGATGACCCTTGCCCTCCCTTCTAACCCTATGGTTCTATGCTGCCACCTAGTGGCCATTTTACAGTATAACTTTCCCATTATTTTATTGGCTACTGAAATCTATTGGTCAGTATTTCTGACCATCTCCCCTTTCCTTTCCTCTACTCTGCTGCCATCTAATGTCGATTTCCCAGCATGACTGTTACTCTGGTCTCCTCTAGTGGATTCTTCTTGCTATAGCTGCCTCTTTCTCATTTTTGACTCTCATGTCATCTGGTGGACATTTAGTATAACAGCCCATTTCTCAATCCCTAACATCTCCTACTATCCCCCGATCATTACATAGCACAGAGTTCCTTTTCTCTTCAATGCTCTTTACTCACCACTTATATAGTGTTATACAGCTTCACCTCCCTTTCCACTTCCTGCTATTGGCCATTTAGCAACATAAGTTCTGCTTTCTTGCGCCTCCACTTTGGCTGCTGTCCATTGGGCTGCACCTGTCCCATTCCTCTTCCCTCTAGTGGTCCTACTCAGCATAACTGCATCTTTCCTCATTTCTTACCTATTGCTAAGTGTGCGCTGTTCAAAATTTTAACCATTGGGAACCAAATCACACAACAGCATGATTGCAACAATAGTGGCCACAACTACACATACAACATTAGTGGGTCTCAAAGGTTTATCGGGGTTTACCATTAATTCAGTGCATTTCTGTTGCTGGGGAGTCTGCTTCCAATGGAAATACATAGATTGAATCCAGGCTGAGATTCTAGGAGGCATCTAAGCGAGTTAGGCACCCAAATCCTTTTGAAATGGGAGATGGACGCTTAACTCTGTTAAGTCACTTGGAAAATCCTTTCTCCAGTGCTGAAGTCCTACAGTTCTCACTGGTGCCCAGCTCCCCTCCCTCTGGCCAAGTCCTGATGTGCTCTCAGTGGCTGAGCCAGCACTGCCAAGGTTGGCACCACAGGAGTTCTGCTTGTTGCTAGGTGGTAGCCACTTCCTCTCACCATAGATTGCGTCATGCCGCTAGGAGAGGGACCTGCATGCAGTAGAGCTGTCCAAGACAGCTGGGGAAAGCTGGTCACCATGTCCTGAGAACTAGCCCTCTCGGGGCATGTACTCGTTGCAGTGAGTTTTGGGGACACTCATTGTAGCAGGTCCCCTCCCTTTGGACTGCTCTGTGCAATTGGTGGCAGCAGAGCAGCTCATACCGTTTAGGGCCGCATGCAGAGTCCCTAGTCAGTGACCATTTGACAGACCCGACCCCTCAAATGGCCTCAGTTCTACGGGTACCCTGGCAAACTCCCAGCTGGGTCTGGACACTCCCAGTGCCCCTGGCTTGTGAGTCTACCTCTTTGTTTGCCCAAACTCCCAGCCTCCAAGGGCCCTGTGAGCCTGGTGCTGGTGCTTTGTCGGAGCTGGTCACAGCTGGTCTTAGTCCAGATAAGAGTTATAAAGTTGTTCCTGTTGAAGTGTCCAGAAGTCACTGCTGGGGCCTGGCTGTAATGAAGGTGGTTGGTTTGCAGGGGGGTATGGTCAGGATGGAATTAGGCACAATTTCAGAGGTGGCAGATTTCCTAGGCTTATGACCCCACAAAGGCTGTACCAAGAGTTGGGACAATAAAAATACTAACATTTATTTTGATAATAATGGCTTTTTTACAGGTATAAAAAAAATGGTTAAAATTGTCTCCACTGCTCCTGGTGCCCAGTTGAAAACTTCATGATGGGAACCTGGTTTGGGCCACCTCCCACCCTCATCCTTCCATTTAGATGCACAATAGAAGTTTTCAAATTAATTTTAATGGGGCTATGTGATGGGACCCCCGGTGTACAACCTGGGGCTGTGGGACCTCTGTGCCCCCTTATCTCTCCAGCCTGGGCTGTCTCTCATGATGCTTTAATTGTGAAAAGCAGCAACCCTCCCCAGTTGCTGTTATCACTCAGTCACCAGCATACAGAGACACACTCAACTGAGGAGCATGAATGCTCTCTAAGCTACTCATGAACTATACAGAGGGAGAAAGCAGCAAATCTCCCCAGCCTCGCACCACCAGAAATGTACCATCTTACACTGCTCAAGACCTTCTCTTGAACAATGCAAGGTCATTAATTAGTTCACCACTTCATCAAAGGATAGTGGTCATGCATCAGCCTTTATAAGCTGAGCAGATTCCCCAAGCATTTTAGACAAACTCACTGGTTAAGATTAAACATTAAAATAAGTTTATTAACTACAGAACTACAGATTTTAAGTGATTATAAGTGTTAGGTAACTATCTCTGACCTTTATGCCTAAGAGAAAAAGGAAACACACATTCTAAATCCTAAACTTTATCAGACTCAGTACGATTTGATTCAAACAGCTTTTCTCACTCCACTGGATGTTGCAGCCAGGTTACAGTTCTTAATACACAGGATGAATTCCCATCTCACCCTGGGACCAACCTCCCCAGTTCAAAGTCTTTGTCTTCCCAGTGTTCTTGTTGCCTCCAGAATAGGTGGGGGAGGAGAGAGGTGGACTCATGATGCCACTGTCCCTTATTTTATACTCTCAATTTATGTCCCTGGAAAAATGCTGGCCAAGACATGTCCTGGTGGGCCTTGCTGTGTCACAGAGTTCAGCAATTCCCATTGTGCGGTGCTTGCACAACTATCTTTTACAGAATTATGAATCTCTTGTTTACAATTCCCCTGCTGGTCAATGGCTGGTGATGGTCATTTAACGCTCACCTGGGTGTGGGTCAGCTCCTATGTTGTCACTGGAGAACCAACAGTGGGCGACTCCCAGAATCCCAACATATTTCAATAACAACCATATAACAAAAGCTCCTAACACCATATACAATGATGATATACATGTTTTGACAGAGGAATGAGTTTCAGCAGATCATGACCTTTCATATGATACCTTACAAGCCATGTTTTTTATCACAATCACATAAAAAAGATTCAGTGCATCACAGGCTCATTACTTCAATCACACAGGCAGCTTTCAAAACCTCAGGCTAAATTATAATCTCAGAGTCTCTGCATATTTTTGTGAAAGCCACATTTACTGACTGCTTTGCTCAAGGCTTCCTTGACCTCTCTGTTTCTCAGGCTGTAGATGAGGGGGTTTACCAGTGGAGTTAGAACCGTGAAGCAAAGAGAGAGCACTTTCTTCAGATCTCTGAGTGTATCACGTTTTGGTAGCATGTAAAAAATCATTATCGTTCCATAGAAAATTGTCACCACAGTGAGGTGAGAGGAGCAGGTGGAAAAGGCCTTTTTTCTCCCAGTAGTGGAAGGGATTCTTAGGATGGTGGCGCTGATACACACATAGGATGTCATTGTTAGTAGGAATGGAGGGAGGGTGAATACGGAGACGAATATGAGATTCACCAATATGCTCAGGTGTGTGTCACTGCAGGAGAGTTCCATCAGTAGGATGGGATCACAATAGAAATGGTCAATTTCATTTGGGCCACAGAAAATTAACTGTGATAAAAATAATATAAAGATGGTAGTGGCCAAGCTACCATTTAACCATGACCCAGCAGCCAACTGGAGGCAAAACCTGTTATTCATAAGAGTTGAGTAGTGCAGGGGTTTACATATCGCTAAATATCGATCATAAGACATCACTGCTAGGAGACAGCATTCCATACCAGCCAAAGCACAAAAGAAATACAGTTGTGAGAGACAGCCACTGAATGAGATGGTTTTGTCCCCAGTCAGGAGACTGACCAGCATCCTGGGCAGGAGGGTGGAGGTGTAACAGGTCTCCAAGCAGGACAAGTTCACTAGGAAGTAGTACATGGGGGTGTGAAGGTGCTTATCAGCCACAACTAGTGCAGTGATGAGCATGTTCCCAGCCACGGTTGCCATGTAGATCACTAGGAACATCAGGAAGAGAAGAATTTGCAGGTCAGGGAGATCCCCGAATCCCAGGAGGATAAAGTCTGTGACAGCTGTTTGGTTTCTCCGGATTATGTCTGCCATATGTTAAGTCTAGGAATAATAAAGCAAACTGTGCAATTGAATTGGAAGAACTTAGAGCTGAAAGGTAATCAAATGTCGTGAATTAATTCCATAAATATTCTGAAACTCCCTCCCTATCCTGGCTACCAGCTGAAATTTTAAGGCTAAACGTAGACAGTCAAAGTGTAAGAAGTCTGAATTCGACAACAGATATTTTTTTATCCATGTAGACCATCCTCTGCCACATGAGAGCAATGACTAATATACCAGTCCATTTCTCTGAAGTACTGATATGCAGATCAGACTATTTATCTACTATCATATCCCATCTAGTGTCATACAGAACTTTAACAATGATGCTTAAATGCTGTATTTCACATCTGGCAATTGCTAGAATCATGCCATGACTTAGGATTCAAAATCAATAAATACATCAACTAAAATGTTGAACCGATCTTCTCTTAGAATTAATGGAAATTAATCTAACAATGTTTCCTGGTATATTCAGCATTTCAGTGCCCTTTGGGAGAAAGAATAATTTCTCTGCCCTCCTCACAAGATATCATTTTATGCCATAAATTTATGAAGTGGAGTAAATTCTCTCTTAGTTGCTGTGGTGGTGATGGTGACGTGGTGAGGGACTGGCAATGCCTTCTCTGATTCCCGACATTGACTATTTAGCAGTAAAAAAATACAGCTCTTTAGAGGATGGCTCTTAGGAAGAAGTAAAACCAGGCTGATGTGCAACCCTAACCGGGGAGTGACCCTCTGCACTCCATATGATTGTGGGATGATAATAGAGAAAATCACTGGTGTGTGTGTGTGTGTGTGTGTGTGTGTGTGTGTAAGTTGCTGTCCCTGAACTCAGTGTCTAGAAACACTCTGGCCTGTGTGATCTGGGCTAGTAAGATGCTAGCACCACTCCGCACCCCATTTGGGGCACACTGAGCCAGATCCCCAGCTGGTGTAGATCAAGGTATCTTCATTTGTGTCAGTGGCACAGATCCCCAACTGAGGACCTGTCACCAGACATGGATCTCACGCTCCATCTCTGTTAAATGGTGCTATGAACGCTGACTGGCACTGCTGTGGGAAGGTGAGGATAAAACTATTTATGTTAATTGGAAGAAGAAATCTATGTAGCTGAAAAGCTTCTCTTGTTCACCAACAGAAACTGGTCCAATAAAAGATATTACCTTGCCTGCCTCGTCCGTCCCTCTAATATTCACAAAGCACATTCATGCCCCTGTTTGGCAGTGGTATAGAAATACAGACAGGAAGATGGTGCTCACCTGTAACCACAGCATAGCCCAAGCTTCAAGCGATGAGCTCTTATTTCTCAGGTCTTGGCTGCCAGGATTCAGGATCCTCAGCTGAGGTTCTTGTCTCTCTTCTTTCTGGGGAAACTGGATTTTCTCAGTGACGTACCTGCAGTTACCTGAAGGAACATTCGATCTACCTTTGGATAATGAGCTTCCCCTTCAATTTAAAAAGCGTAAATGCTGCCTCATATTTATATTCAGTCTTCAAACTTTTTTATAAGGTCTCGCTTCAACCTTTCTCCCACTTGGTTCATTTTGTGTCTCCAAAGCTTTGTAGCTAACAATGCCCAATGAGACTTGTACAGTGTGCCTTGTATAATTGCATCTTTTTCTAAATCTAGTTATCCATTTTGGAAAATATTTGAGATTATGATTAAACAGCAGCTTACATTTTTGAGAGATGCCTGTCCAAGATAATGGCCTCTTATAATGTACTTGCACCAACCCATTATTAATATTAAATATATGCTGCCATCTAGTGGGCATTTCTGAAAATCGCTGCCCAACTATCACCCTTACAACATGCTGCCACCGAATGACCATTTAACTTTCTGCCCCACCCCCTCCATGCACCTGATAGAGTTTTGCACTGATCTGGAAGCCTAATTTCACTGTCTCCGATTCAAGGAATATTTTCAACACACCACTGAACAGCGCATTGACCCACAGGAACCCTCCTACCAACACTACAAGAAGAAGAATTCTGCATGGACTCCTCCTGACGGTCGTAATGACAGACTGGACTTCTACATAGAGTGCTTCTGCAGACGTGCACAGGCTGAAATTGTGAACAAACAGCATCACTTGCCCCATAACCTCAGCCATCCACAGCCTCAGAAACAACTCTGACATTATAATCAAAGGGGCTGACAAAGGAGGTGCTGTAGTCATCATGAAGAGGTCAAATTATGAACAGGAGGCTGCCAGGCAACTCTCCAACACCGCATTCTTCAGGCCACTATGCTCTGATCCGACTGAGGAGTACCAAAGAAATGACACCATCTGCTCAACAAACTCCCTGCTACAGCATGGGAACAAATCTACACAGACACACCCCTAAAGCCCCGACCAGGGGTATTCTATCTGCTACCCAAGATCCATAAACCTGGAAATCCTGAACGCCCCATCATCTCAGGCATTGGCACTCTTACAGCAGGATTATCTGGCTATTTGGACTCTCTCCTCATACCCTACGCTAACAGCACTCCTAGCTATCTTCGAGACACTACTGACTTCCTGAGGAAACTACAATCTATTGATGTTCTTCCCGAAAACACCATCCTGGCCACCATGGATGTAGAAGCTCTTCATACCAATATTCAACACAAGGATGGAATACAGTATCCCTGATGTGTCCACGGCACACCTGGTGGCTGAGCTTCGTAACTTTGTCCTCACCCACAACCATTTCATATTTGGGGACAACTTATACCTTCAAGTCAGAGGCACTGCTATGGGTACCCTCATGACCCCACAGTATGCCAACATTTTTATGTTTGACTTAGAACAACGCTTCCTCAGCTTTCGTCCCCTAGTGCCCCTCCTCTACTTGCGCTACAGTGATGACATCTTCATCATATGGATGCACGGGAAGGAGGCCCTTGAAGAATTCCACCTGGATTTCAACAATTTCCACCCCACCATCAACCTCCACCTGAACCAGTCCACACAAGAGATCCACTTCCTTGACACTACTGTACAAATAAGTGATAGTCACATAAACACCACCCTATATCAGAAACCTACTGACCAGTCTTCTTACCTAAATGCCTCCAGCGTCCATTAACGACACATCACATGATCCACTGTTTACAGCCAAGACCTAAGCTACAACCGTATTTGCTCCAAACCCTCAGACAGAGACAAACACCTACAAGATCTTTATCAAACATTCTTAAAACTACAATACCCACCTGAGAAATGAGGAAACAGATTGACAGAGCGAGATGGGTACCAAGAAGTCACCTACTACAAGACAGACCCACAAGGAAAATAACAGAACACCACTGGCCATCACGCACAGCCCCCAGCTAGAACCTCTCCAGTACATCATCAACGATTTACAACCTATACTAGAAAACGATCCCTCACTCTCACAGACGTTGGGAGACAGGCCAGTCCTCGCTTACAGACAGTCCCCCAACCTGAAGCAAATACTCACCAGCAACTACACACCACACCACACCACACCACACCACACCACAGAAACACTAACCCAGGAACCAATCCCTGTAACAAACCCTGTTGCCTACTCTGTCCCCATATCTACTCTAGTGACACCATCATAGGACCCAACAACATCAGCCACACCATCAGGGGCTCATTCACCTGCACATCTACTAATGTGATATATGCTATCATGTGCCTGCAATGCCCCTCTGTCATGTACATTGGCCAAACCGCTCAGTCGCTATGTAAAAGAATAAATGGACACAGATCAGACATCAGTAATGGCAATATACAAAAGCCAGTAGGAGAACACTTCAATCTCCCTGGACATTCAATAACAGATTTTAAAGTAGCCATCCTGCAACAACAAAAACTTCAAAAACAGACTTCAAAGAGAAACTGCAGAGCTATAAATCATTTGCAAACTTAACACCATTAATTCAGGTTTGAATAGGGACTGGGAGTGGCTGGCTCACTACAAAAACAATTTCCCCTCTTGGGTATTGACACCTCCTCATCAATTATTGGAAGTGGACCACATCCACCCTTATTGAATTGGCCTAGTGATCACTGGTTCTCCACTTGTAAGGTAACTGTCTTCTCTTCATGTGCCAGTATGTTTATGCTTGTATCTGTAATTTTCACTCCATGCATCTGAAGAAGTGGTTTTTCCCACAAAAGCTTATGTCCAAATAAATCTGTTACTTTTTAAGGTGCCACTGGACTCCTCACTGTTTTTGTGGATACCGACTAAAATGGCCATCCCTCTGACATTTAACAGTATAACTTTCCCATTATTGTGTTGGTTACTGAAATCTGTTGGTCACTAGTCAATATTTCTGACAACCCCTCCCATTCCCTCTACTCTGCTGCCATCTAGTGGTCATTTCCCAGCACGACAGTCTGGATTATTAATGGATTATTCTATCAGAGGGGTAGCCGTGTTAGTCTGAATCTGTAAAAAGCAACAGAGGGTCCTGTGGCACCTTTGAGACTAACAGAAACTAATCTTTCTGTTAGTCTCAAAGGTGCCACAGGACCCTCTGTTGCTGGATTATTCTATGGCTGCCTCTTTCCAGTTTTTGACTCATGTCACCTCCTGGCCATTATTTAGAAAACTGCCCAATTCTGACTCTGCAACATCTGCTACTATCCATAGTTCATTACATACATAGAGGTCCTTTCCTCACCACTTATACAGCATTATACAGCTTCACCTCCCTTTGTTCTTCCCTTGGGTGGTCATTTCGCAACATAATTTCTCCTGTCTTGCCCTTCCGCTTTGGCTGCTATCCGTTGGGTCAGCAGGGCTGCAACTTTCCCATTCCTCTGCCCTCTAGTGACCCTAGAGAGCATAATCCCATCTTTCCTCATTTCTTACCTACTGCTAGGTGTGCACTGTTCCAAATTATAGCCACTGAGAAACAAATGGTACAACAGCATGTTTGCAACATTAGTGGCGACAACACCTACAACAACAGCAGCAGCCCTCGAAGGTTCAGCAGGGGTGTCCAATCATTCTGTTTTCAATGGAAATGCATAGATTGAACCTACTGAAATAGAATCCCAGTGGCTTTTCAGGCTGAGATTCTCAGAGGCATCTAATGGAGTTAAATGCCCAACTCCCATTTCACAGGGATTTGGGTGCATAACTCCATTAGGGCCCTTGGAAAATCCTTCCCGCAGTGCTGAAATCCTTCTGTTCTCACCGGTGTCCACCTCCCTGCCTCTGGCCAAGCCCTGATGTGCTCCCAGTGACTGAGCCAGCACTGCCATTTTGGCACCATAGGAGTTCTGCCCGTTGGTAGGTGGTAGCTGCTGCATCTCACCATAGGTTGCCTCATGCCCCAAGGGGAGGGCCCTGAGTGCAGTGGAGCTGTCTAAGGCACATAGGACTGGCTAGGCATCGTGCGCTGAGAACTAGTCCTCTCGGGACAGGTGCTTGTTGCAGTCAGTTTTGGGGACGCTCAACATAACCAGTCCCCTCCCTTTGAACTGCTCTGTGCCGTTGGCAGCAGCAAAGCAGCTTCTGCCCTGCAGGGCCACATGCCAAGTCCCTCCTCGGTGCCTGTTTGACAGACCCGACCCTAGGAATGGCCTCAGTTCTACGGGTACCCTGGCAAACCCCCAGCTGGGTCTGGACAGTTCCAGTGGCCCTGGCTTGTGAGTGCAGCTCTTTGTTTGCCCAACCTCCCAGCCTCCAAGTGTCCTGTGAGCCTGGGCCTGGTGCTTTGCCAGAGCTGGTCACAGCCGTGTGTAGCCCAGGTAAGAGCTATGAAGCTGTTCCTGGTGAAGTGTCCAGAGGTCACTGCTGAGGCTTGGGTGTTTGCATCTAGCCTGTGTGAGTGCAGTGAATGTGGTGGGTTTGCAGAGGGGTATGATGGCAATAAGCACCATTTCAGGGGTAACAGATTTTCCAGGCTTATGTCCAAATCTCTGCTGCACCAGAGTTAGTATTTTTTATTGTCCAACCATTAATTTGGATCAAAAAGTGCTTTTTATGGAAATAAAAAATGGTTAAAATTGTCGTCACTCTGTCTGGTGCCCAGTTAAAAACTCCATGATGGGAATATGGTTATGGCCACTTTCCTCCATGGTCCTTCCAGTTAGATGGACAACACTGTCCTGAGTTCCAGCTGGATCCTCCATTTCATATTTACGGGAATAAAAAATGATTGGCAGAAACAAACATGATGTCACCCATTGTGTTCTGTTTGTATTTGACTGTCTGAATTTGATTACATGACTTTATTATCTAACATACAGAAACCATGAACAGGGGATATACACAGGGATTTACTTGGATAATTAGCAGGTTTTGTGCCTTACACAATGTCAGCTCTGTGCATTTTCAGACGCTGTACAAGTTCATCCCATAGGGTGAACATTTAGCTAACACCATGGAGAAAAATATAATCATACTGTGTGTCTCAGTGCTGAACATGAGAGAGTGATACAGCTGTCCGCAACCTCACTTTCCTATATGTTGTGTAACATTGAGGCAGCACGGGAATACGAAGACTGTCTCAGTAACTCCATACAGATTATCTCAATTTTTTTCATATTAGTGCTGAGATTTCCAATGGGAGTTTTCAACTTAATTTCAATGGGGGCTGATAGACTGAGGTTTTCAAGCTGCCTGGATGATTTAGGAAAAGTCTCAACATGTTTTTGTGAAAGCCACATATTTACTGACTGCTTTGCTCAAGGCATCCTTAACCTCTCTGTTTCTCAGGCTGTAGATGAGGGGATTTACCAGGGGAGTCATGACTGTGTAGGAAAGAGACAGCACTTTGTTTAGGAGACTTAATGTATTGTGTTTTGGAAGCACGTAGACAATCATTAGGGTTCCATAGTAAATTGTCACCACAATGAGATGGGAGGAGCAGGTAAAAAAGGCCTTTTGTCTCCCTATGGTGGAAGGGATTCTCAGGATGCTGGCAATGATACACACGTAGGATGTCAGGGTTAGTAGGAACGGAGGCAGGGTGAATACACAGGATAGTATGAGATGGAACAATATTATCCAGCGTGTGTCACTGCAGGACAGTTCCATAAACGGGATGGCATCACAATAGAAATGGTCAATTTCATTTGGGCCACAGAATGTTAACTGTGATAGGAATAAGACAAAGATGGCAGTAACCAAACAACCATTTAACCATGACCCAGCAGCCAATTGGAGGCAAAACCTGTTATTCATAAGAGTTGAATAGTGCAGGGGTTTACATATCGCTAAATACCGATCATAAGACATTGCTGCTAGGAGATAGCATTCTGTACATGCCAGAGAACCAAAGATAAAAAATTGTGTGAAGCAGCCACTGAATGAGATGGTTTTGTTCCCAGTCAGGAGACTGGCCAGCATCCTGGGCAGGATGGTCGATGTGTAGCAGGTCTCCAAGCAGAACAAGTTGCCCAGGAAGAAGTACATTGGGGTGTGAAGCTGCTGATCAGTCACAACGAGTACCACAATGAGAGTGTTCCCAGCCACGGTTGCCATGTAGATCACTAGGAACATCAGGAAGAGAAGAATTTTCAGTTCAGGGAGATCCCCGAATCCTAGGAGGATGAATTCCATGACAGCTGTTTGATTTCTCCAGTCTCTGTCTTCCATGGGTTTAGTCTCGGAACAATAAAACAAAATGTGCAATTCAATTGGACAAACATAGTTAAAAGTTTGTGATTTAATTCCATAAATTTTCAGAAACTACCCTTCCTCTCCTGGTTACGGGCTGAAATTTTAAGATTAAATGTATATTTCAATGCTAAGTGCAAGGAATCTCAGTCCGAGGACAGAATATTGCTGTCCAGGTAGATCTCCCTCTGTCATGTCAGAACAATGACTAATATAACAGGCCATTTATCTGGTAACCGAGTACTGATAAGTCAGATCAGACCATTTCTTTATCTAGTATCATATTCCTTCTAGTGACATACAGGAGATTAATAATGATGCTTAAATGATGTATTTCACTTCTGGCAATGGCCAGAATCATGCCATGACTTAGGAGTCAACATTATTAAATACATCATCTAAAATGTTGGACTGAGATTTCCAATGCAGTCTAGTGTTCTTATGCACCAGTTTCCTGGTAGAATTAGTAGAAATTAATCTAACCATATATCCTGGTATATTCAGCATTTCAGTGCCTTGTAGGAGAAGGAATAATTTTCATCCCCTCACAAGAGATCAGTTTATGTCATACATTCTGAAGTGGAGTAAATTCTCCCTTAGTTCCTGTGGTGATGATGGTGACGTGGTGAGCGACTGGCAGCGCCTTTTTTTCCCCCCTATGTTGACTATGTAGCAGTAATAAAGTATGGCTCTTTGTGGGGTGAATCTTAGGAAGGGACAGAACCAGGCTGATGTGCAACCCTAACTGGGGAGTGACCCTCTGCACTTCATAATGTTTGTGGGATGATAAATCACTTGGGGGTGGAGGTGGAAGATGTTGTCCCTGAACTCGGAGTCTAGAAACAATCTAGCATGTGTGATCCGGGCTAGTAAGACTCTGTCTCTACTCCCCACTCCATTGGGGCACACACTGAGCCCGATCCCCAGGTGATATAAATCAAGGTATTTCCATTTGTGTCAGTGGGGCAGTTCCCCAACTGAGGACCTGTCACAGAACATGGATCTGAAGCTCCACCTCTGTGAAATGGTGCTATGAATGCTGACTGGCGCTGATGTGGGAAGGTGAGGCTAAAAATGCTAATACTGACCTGAAGAAGAGCCCTGTGTCGCTCAAAAGCTTCTGGTTTCAGAGTAGCAGCCGTGTTAGTCTGTATCCACAAAAAGAAAAGGAGTATTTGTGGACCTTAGAGACTAACAAATTCATTGGAGCCTAAGCTTTCGTGGGCTACAGCCCACTTCATCAGATGCATAGAATGGAACATACAGTGAGAATATATATATACATTCACAGAATATGAAAAGGTGGAAGTTGCCATGCCAACTCTAAGAGGCCAATTAATTAAGATGAGCTATTATCAGCAGGAGAAAAAAAAAACTTTTGTAGTGATAATCAAGATGGCCCATTTCAGACAGTTGACAAGAGGGTGTGAGGATACTTAACGTGGGGAAATAGATTAAATTTGTGTAATGACCCAGCCACTCCCAGTCTGTATTCAAGACCAAGTTAAGGGTATCTAATTTGCAAATTAATTCCATTTCAGCAGTTTCTCACTGGAGTCACAGGGTTAGGGCAGAGTTGGTATTGGGCTTTGTTGCAAGGATAGGTTCCTGGTGTGACGATGCATCCCATAATGCTTTATGGGAATATGACATAACTGGAGTATGTTTTATGCTACATATGCCATGTAACATATCTCTGTAAAGGTTATGGTTTACTGAATCTATTCATCCTATTTGTACACATATATCATTTTTGTACTCGAAGTTATGACTATTGTCTGTATACTTGCTTGATTTCTAAGTAAGCTTTGTAAGTCATTTGATCAGCTTCTTTAGAAAGGAATTCGCAAAGTTAAGTGCCCAATCAAGAAGCACTTAAGAAACAATGCATCTTGGAATACTCCAATCCACATAAGAAGTCTTCCTGGAGACATACAAGATACCATGTGGGCAATGGCTTCTGCCTGTAAAAACTGTGAGTCATGTATGGACATGTGACTTGCCCAGGTGATTCCAGAACTCCATCTTGGAGCTGGACTTTGCATAGGAGAGAGGAGGGGGTCTCCACCCACAAGAGAAAATATATTTAAGCCTGTGAGAGACCCTTCCATTTTGTCTTCAGCTGGCTAAAGAGAGAGCCTCTCCACCCCCAAGGATACCTGAAAGAAACTGGAACAAAGGACAGTCACTACAAGGGGTGTGAGTGATTGCTGGACCCAGACTAGCAGGAGACTAGTCTGTAAAAGGAAACTTACTGGAACTGGTGAGGTGTTATTTGTATTCAGTTTCCTTAGACATAGACTTGCATGTTTTATTTCATTTTACTTGGTAATTCACTTTGTTCTGTCTGTTACTACTTGGAACCACTTAAATCCTACTTTCTGTATTTAATAAAATCACCTTTTACTCATTAATTAACCCAGAGTATGTATTAATACCTGAGGGGCAAACAGTTGTGCATGTCTCTCTATCGGTGTTATAGAGGGCAAAGAATTTATGAGTTTTATAAGCTTTATACAGGGTAAAACAGATTTATTTGGGCTTAGACTCCATTATGAGTTGGGCATCTGAGTGTTAAAGATAAGAACACTTCTGTAAGCTGCTTTCAGTCAAGCCTACAGCTGTTAGGGAACGTGGTTCAGACCTGGGTCTGGGTTTGCAGCAGGATAGCGAGTCAGCTTAGGACTTCAGTGGCCTGCTTGGTTTTAAGCAGACAGGGCAGGAAAGCGGGGGCAGAAGTAGTCTTGGCACATCAGGTGGCAGCTCCCAGGGGGTTTCTGTGATCTAACCCATCATACCTGGGTTAGTGTTCTTGTTGTGTGGTATGTGGCTGCTTGTGAGTATTTGCTTCAGGTTGGGGGGCTGTCTGTAAGCAAGGACTGGCCAGTCTCCCAAGATCTGTGAAAGTGAGGGATCGTCTTTCCACATATCTATTCAAGTGACACCATCATAGGACCTAATCACATCAGCCACGCCATCAGGGGCTCATTCACCTGCACATCTACCAATGTGATATATGCCATCATGTGCCAGCAATGCTCCTTGCCATGTACATTGACCAACCCAGACAGTCTCTACACAAAAGAATAAATGTACACAGATCTGACATCAGGAATCATAACATTCAAAAACCAGTAGGAGAATACTTCAGCCTCTCTGGTCACTCAGTAACAGACTTAAAGGTGGCAATTTTGCAATAGAAAAGCTTCAAAAACAGACTCCATCGAGAAACTGCTGAAATGGAATTAATTTGCAAACTAGATACCATTAACTTGGGCTTGAATACAGACTGGGAGTGTCTGGGTCATTACATAAATTGAATCTATTTCCCCATGCTAAGTATCCTCACACCTTCTTGTCAACTGTCTGAAATGGCCCATCTTGATTATCACTACAAAAGTTTTTTTTTTCTCCTGCTGATAATAGCTCATCTTAATTAATTAGCCTTTTAGAGTTGGTATGGCAATTTCCACCTTTTCATATTCTCTCTATGTATATATATATCTTCTTACTGTATGTTCCATTCTGATTAAGTGGGCTGTAGCCCACGAAAGTTTATGCTCAAATACATTTGTTAGTCTCTAATGTGCTACAAGTACTCCTGTCCTTTTTTTCAAAAGCTTCTGTCATTCACCAACAGGAGTTAGTGCAATATAAGATATTACCTCACCCACCTTGTCCCTCTAATATTCACAAAGCACATTGATGGCCCTGTTTGATGGTGGTATAGAAATGCAGTCAGGCAGATGGTGCTCACCTGTAACCACAGCACAGCCGAAGCTTGAAGAGATGAGCTCTTATTTCTTAGGGTTTGGCCACCAGGATTCAGGTTCGTCAGCTGAAGTTCTTGTCTCGCCTCTTTCTTCAAAAACAGGGTTTTCTCAGTGAAGAGACCTGCAGTTACCTGAAGGGATGAACAGGTGCATTTGATCTACCTTTGGACAATGAGCTTCCCCTTCGATTTAAAAAGTGTAAATGCTGCCTCATATTTGTATTCGGTCTTCACGGTTTTTGGTACGGTCCCACTTCAACCTTTCTTCCACTTGGTTCATTCTGTGACTCCAAAGCTTTGTAGCTAACAATGTCCAGTGGGACTTGTACAGCATGACTTGTATAATTGTATCTTTTATTAAGTCTAATGATTCAATGTGGAAAATATTTGAGATCATGAACAAATACCAGCTTTCACTCTAGGGAGATACCTGTCAAGATGATGGTCTGCTATAATGTACTTGCTCTACCCCATTATTAATATTCAATATATTCTGCCACCTAGTGGCCCTTTTTCTAGTATAGCTTTCCTATTATTGTATTGGCTACTAAAATCTTTTGGTCACTACTCAGTATTTCTGACACCCCCTCTCAGTTCCACTCCTCTGTTGCCGTGTAGTGTTGATTTCCCAGCCTGTTTCTTTGCTGTCCTCTATTGGATTCTTCTTGCTATCATAGCTGCCTCTTTCCAGTTCTTGACTCAAGTCACCTTCTAGCCATTATTTAGAAAACTGCCTACTTCTCACTCCGCAACATCTGCTACTGTCCACAGTTCATTGATTTATGTGGTCCTTATCTCTTCAGGGTCCTTTCCTCACCACTTATACAGCGTTATACAGCTTCGGGGAGAGAGCTGATGGGGGGCTGCTGACGTATTACTGTGGCTCTTTGGCAATGTACATTGGTAAATTCTGTCTCCTTCTCAAGCTCAGGTTGGCCACCCATGATCTAGATTGCGTGCTTGTCTTTTATTTTCTTTTGGTAACTTTTCTGAACTTTTTGCTTATCACTTATAACTTCTTAAAATCTATCTTTTGTGGTCAATAAACTTACTTTTATGTTTATTCTTACCAATGAGTTTGTTTGAAGTGTTTGGTAAATCTGCTCAGGTAACAAGGGCTGTGCATGTCCACTTTCCCGTGAAGTAAGTGGTGAATCAAATAATAAATTTGAATTGTACAAGAAAGGATCTTGAACAGTGCAGGACCGTATATTCCTGAGGTACAAGACTGGAAGCTGGGGGGGATCTGGTTGGTGCCTTTCTCTGTGAGATTTCATGAGTGACTCTGGGAGCACTCAGACAAGCTACGTGAGCATGGGGCTTCACATGCTGATGGATTGAGTGATAGCACCTGGAGGGGTTTGCTGCTTGTCACAAGCACAGCATTGTGAGAGACACCCCAGGCTAGTCAGTTCAGGGAGCACAGTGGTCCCACAGTTCTAGGTCATACCCCCCACCTAGTTAAATATTCAACACATAGGGGAAACTGAGGCACACAAAATATTCATACAAAACATTATGAAAAATGCCCACTTCGTCACATCTCTTCCCCCTTTAAGACTGAACCGAGCGGGGTCACTTCAGCCAGTGACCTGGGGAAATTCAGGTACACCTTTCTGTGAGAAAGCATCTGCCATAAGATTTGCACTCGCATTAAGATGAAACACTTTCATATCATTATCCTGGAGGATCAGACTCCATCTCAGAAACTTGGCATTAGCCCCTTTCATTTGATGCAGCCATGTCAGGGGAGAGTGGTCAATATAAACAGTAAAGCACCCCCCAAATAGATATGGCTGCAACTTTTTAAGAGCCCACACCTTGGCCAGGCTTTCATTTTCTATGATGGCCTAGTTCTTCTCCCAGGGAAGCCATTTCTTCCTCAGTTATACAATTGGGTATCTCTGCCCCTGAGCATCAGCTTGCATCAGCACTGCACAGCCCTGTGTCTGAGGCATCTGGGAACACCAGGAAGGAATTACCAAAACCAGGCCCTGGCTTAGCGCCTCCTTCAGGGCAGGGACAGTGCTCTGTCCAGACCACATTGTCCGGCTTGCCATTCCTACATCGTTCAGTGATGGGGGCTGCCAAGGTGCTAAAATGGGGTACAAACCTCCGGTAGTGCCCCGCCATCCCAATAATGGCCTGTGCCTGTTTCTTGATTTGGGGAATGGGCCAATCCCTGATCGCCTCCACCTTGGTGGGCTCTGGCCTTATGTGGCCGCTCCCCACCTTGTGGCCCAGGTACGACACCTCAGCCTTCCCCCTTTACACTTTTCAACCTTTACAGTCAGTCCTGCCTCCTTGAGGTGACCCAGCACCCTCTTCACCTGGGACATGTTCCTCTGAGATCTGGCTAAAGACACAGATGTCATCAATGAACAACAGGGCAAAGTTCTCCATCCCCTCAGCAATTGATCCACCAGGTAGTATGGAATGTGGCAGCCTTGAAGCTGAAAGGTAGGACCAGGAACTCAAAGAGCCCTATTGGGGTGGTGAAGGCAGATTTCAGCCTGGTGTTTGGGTCCAAAGGCACCTGCCAATAGCCCTTGGTGAGATCCACAGTATGGAGGTAACATCCCCCTCTAACTTGCCAGGATCTCGTCAGGCCTAGGCATGGGGTAGGCATCGGACACGGTGATGGCATGACGCTTCCAACAGTTTACACAGAATCTGAATGAGTGAGGCCCATGGGCTGGTGGATGGTTGGATTGCCCCTATGGCCAGCATGTCTCTGATTTCTCTCTCTCAGTTCCTGGACTGTTTTCCCAGTGACTCTGAATGGGGAACACCGGATGGGAGGGTTGCCTTCTGTCTCCACCCAGTGGACATCCATGTTAGTGAACCCAGGCCTGCTGGGGAACAGCAGCTGGTGAGAACGCAGCACCACTCTGATCTGTGCCTGCTGGGCAGGGCTTAGCTGGTCAGAGAGGGGAATTGATTCCAGTGGAAGCCCGGCTCCTGTCTCAGGGAAGAGATCCACCAGGTGATCTCCTCGCTTCTCCTACCCCTGCCCATATATGGCCAGCACCCAACCTCTCCCTATCAAAGTACAGCCCCATCATGTCGCCATGGTACCCTTGGTGGCTGTGAGCCCGGTTGGGCAGCTCCACCACATAGTTCACCACATTCCGCTGCTTGATGACCTCAAAGGGCCCATCCCAGGCAGCCTGGAGATTCTTATTCTTATTCTTCTGCACGGAGATGAGAACCATCCCCTGGTCCCGAGTACCATAGAAGCAGGCATGCAGTGAGCGGTCGCACCCAACTTCCTGTTTCCCTTGGGCCCAGGCTAGGTTCTCCTTGGCCAAACCCATGAGCTCAGTGAGTCTTTCCCGAAAAGACAGCACATATTCCACCACCCAGTCCCCATCAGAAGAGTCCTTCCCCTCCCATTCGTCCCTCAAGTCCCAGGGTCCCCTCATTCTCCTCCCATACAGCAACTCGAAAGGGGAATACCCTGTGGATTTCTGAGGCATTTCTCTATATGTGAACAGCAGGTGGGGTAAATACTTGTCCCAGTCCTGGGCATGTTGGTCCATAAAAGTCCTCAGCATCTTCTTCAGGGTCCCATTAAACCATTCCACCAGCCCGTTGGACTGAGGGTGATATACAGAGGCCCTGGTGTGCTGAACCCCACATTTCTCCCACAAGCACCAGAGCAGGGCTGGCATGAAATTGGATCCCTGGTCTGTAAGGACCTCTCTGGGGAACCCCACCCTGCTGAAAATGGTCAGCAGCGCATCTGCCACAGTGTCTGCCTTGCTGGAGGACAGATACACACCTTTGGGTAGCGGGTAGTGAAATCTACCACCACCAGTATGTATTTCTTCCCTGACTGGATCTCCTTGCTGAGGGGACCCACAGCCACCTTGTGAAAAGGTTGCTATCTGATGGGCAAATGCCACAAGGCTGCTTTACACTTAAACTGGGGCAACAATTTGGAATCTAGGGGCATGTCTACACTATGAAATTAGGTCGATTTTATAGAATTCGATCTTTAGTAACCAATTTTATACAGTTGATCGTGCATGTCCCCAGTAAGCACATTAGGTCGTTGGAGTGCATCCTCAATACCGTGGCTAGCATTGACTCACAGAGTGGTGCACTGTGGGTAGCTATCCCACAGTCCCTGCTGCCCATTGGAATTCTGGGTTAAGCTCCCAGTGCCTGATAGGGCAAAAACATTGTCACGGGTGGCTTTAGGTACATGTTGTCAGTCTCCCCTCCCTCCCTCATTGAAAGCAACGGCAAACAATCATTCTGCGCCTTTTTTCCTGGGTTATCCATGAAGACTCCATAGTACGGCAAGCATGGAGCCCGCTCAGATGCACACTGCTTTTGTGAGCATTGCTAACACCTCATGCATTATCCTGCAGTATGTGCAGAGCCTAGATAGGAAGATTGTGAGGAGGACATGGACACAGACATTCCTGAAAGCACGGTATGTGGCAACTGGAATATCATGGCAGCATTGGGGCATGTTGATACAGTGGAACACCGATTCTGCACCCGGCAAACAAGCACAGACTGGTGGGACCGCATAGTGTTGCAGGTATGGGATGATTCCCAGTGGCTGAGAAACTTTCGCATGTGTAAGGCCACTTTCATGGAACTGTGTGAGTTGCTTTCCAGCACCCTGAAGTGTAGGAATACCAAGATGAGACCTCCCCTGACAGTTGAGAAGTGAGTGGCAATAACCCTGTGGAAGCTTGCAATGCCTGACTGCTACTGGTGAGTTGGGAATCAATTCCGAGTGGGCAAATCTACTGTGGGGGCTGCTGTGATCCAAGTAGCCAGGACAATCAATACCCTTCTGCTAAGAAGGGTAGTGATTCTGGGAAATGTGCACGACATAGTGGATGGCTTTGCTGCAATGGGGTTCCCTAACTGTGGTGGGGCTATAGACGGAATGCATATCCCTATCTTGGCACCGGACCACCTTGCCAAAGAGTACATAAACCGCATGGGATATTTCTCAATGGTGTTGCTAGCACTGGTGGATCACAAGGGCCGTTTCACTGACATCAACATGGGATGGTCTGGAAAGGTGCATGATGCTCGCATCTTTTGGAACTCCGGGCTGTTCGGAATGCTTCAAGAAGGGACTTTCTTCCCAGACCATAAAATTACCATTTTGGATGTTGAAATACCAATAGTTATCCTTGGGGACCCAGCCTACCCCTTGCTCCCATGGCTCATGAAGTCCTACGCAGGCAGCCTGGACAGTTGAACTTTAGCCTGAGCAAGTGCAGAATGGTGGTAGAATGTGCCTTTGGGCATTTACAAGGGCGCTGGCACAGTTTGCTGAGTAGGTTAGACCTCAGTGAAAGCAATATTCTCACTGTTATTGTTGCTTGCTGTGTGCTCCATAATATCTGTGAGAGTAAGGGGGAGACATTTATGGTGGGGTGGGAGGCTGAGGAAGATTGTCTGGTGGCCAATTTTGAACAGCCAGACACCAGGGCAATTAGAAGAGCACACCAAGATGAGCTGCACATCAGAGAGGCTTTGAAAAACAGTTTCATGACTGACCGGTGTGACAGTTATGTGTGTTTGTCCTTGATGGAACCCCCCCCCCCTTTGGTGAATGTATTTCCCTGAAAACCAATCCCCCTCCTGCCCTTGGACCACAGCTGGCACAGGAAATAAAGACCCTATTGTTCTGAATCCATTCATTCTTTATTTATTAAAAAAATGAGATCACTGACAATGCTGACTAGTAAAAGGAAGCCTGGGTGTACAAAGGGTTTGATAATGGGGTGGGGTGGGGAAGGAGGGAAGGACAAGGCCACATCGCTTATTGTAGCCACACTACAAATCAAAGCTGTTTGAATGACAGCCTTCTGTTGCTTGTGCCATCCCCTGGAGTCAAGTGGCAGGTAGGGTGACCAGACAGCAACTGAGAAAAATTGGGATAGGGGTGGGGGTGGTAATCGTAGCCTAAGAAAAAAGACCCCAAAATCAGGACTGTCCCTAAAAAAAATCAGGACAACTGGTCACCCTAGTGGCAGGGTGCCCGGAGCCTCCTCCCCCCACATGTTCTTGGGCATCTGGGTGAGGAGGATATGGAACTTGGCAAGGAGGGCCGGCAGTTACACAGTGGATGGAGCGGGGATCTGTACTCTAGTTGCCTTTCTTGAAGCTACATCAGACGCCTCAGCATGTCCGTTTACTCCCCCATTAGCCTCAGCATCTCCTCCTGCGTGTTCTGATCACGCTCGCTATATGCTTTCCTGGCCTCTGCCACCGAATGCTTCCATGAATTCAGCTGTGCCCTATCAGTGTGAGAGGACTGCATGAACTCTGAAAACATGTCATTGCGAGTGCATTTTTTTCGCCTTCTAATCTGCGATAACCTCAGGGATGGAGTTGCAGGGGAGGGGGGGGAAAGGGAGAGTAGACTTTTAAGAAGATACATTTCCAAGAACAAAAGGGAGACTCTTTCACAGTGAATCAAGCAATTCACCGCAGACAGCATGTGCTTTAGGTACAAGGTTGCATTTTGCCTTTTATATTGAGCGTCTGCCGGTATGGTGACACATCACACACAGCTGGGCAACAGAATTGGTTTTGGAGGCAGCCATGGTAAGCCAAAGGGTATGTGGGGTTGGTTTCTTCGGTGTTCATAACATATGGGAATGGTTTCAAACTGCAGCACCCTCCTTTCCCATAGCAACCAATGCCGGTTGGGTTTGCTGTTTAAAAGGAGGGGCTGCAGTTACTGTTTAAAAGGAGGGACTGCGTTTTTGGGGTGGATGTGCAGCACACCCCTTCCTCTCCCTCCCCCCGTGGCTATTCTCTCGGTTGATCCCTTTTAGCCAAGCGGAAACAGCCCAGCATGCCTGGGGTCTAATGTATTGGGGCTCACCAAACAGATGGGATTACTGGTCCCTTACAAAACTTCTCCCATTTCAACCATGAATGATATCACTCTCCTGAGGTTGACACAGAAAGATAAAGACCGAATGTTGCATGAATGTGACCAAAACCCAGGACCACCCGTTGCCATGCTTTGTGCTTTAATGATTGTAGACTACTTGCTACTGGCTTGGCGTGGTAAAGTGTCCTACCGTGGAGGACAAAATAAGGCAGCCCTCCCCAGAAACCCTCTTCAAAGGCTTTCAGAGTACCTCCAGGAGAGCTTCATGGAGATGTCCCTGGAGGATTCCCGCTCCATCCCCAGACACGTTAACAGACTTTTCCATTAGCTATATGTACTGACCGCGAATGCATCCCAATTGCTCAGGGCAAATCAAACATTAAACAGAATTGCTTTTAACCCCTGTAGTGTCGTTACAAATGTGCACTCACCAGAGGTGCCTTCTCCGCCTTCAGGGTCCGGGAACAATAGGCCCTGGGAGTGTATTGGCTCCAGGCTAAGGAAAAGGTCCTGGCTGCCAGGCAGAACGGATTCTCTGCTTGCCTGCTGCGCATTCTCCTCCTCTTCCTCATCCACAATATCCTCATCCATGTTGTGTGAGGCTGCCACCTTGCAGGTGTCCACAGAGAGAGTTGGGGTACTGGTAGGATCCCCCCCTAGAATGGCATGGGGCTGATCATAGAAGCGGCATGTCCGGGGCTCTGACCCGGAGTGACCATTTGCCTCCTTTTTCTTTTGCTAGGCTTGCCTGAGCTCCTTAATTTTCACGCGGCACTGATGTGCATCCCTGGTATAGCCTCTTTCCACCATGCCCTGTGTGATTTGGGCATATATATCAGCATTTCTTCTGCTGGATCGGAGTTCTGCCTGCACAGATGCTTCTCCCCTTACAGCAATCAGATCTAGTGTCTCCCATTCGCTTCATGCTGGAGCTCATTTGCGATTCTGGGACTGCATGGTCACCTTTTTTGCTGAGCTCGCCATGCTGACCAAACAGGAAATTAAATTCAAAAGTTCCCGGTGCTTTTCCTGTGTAACTGGCTAGTGCATCGGAGTTCAAAGTGCTGTCCAGAGCGGTGACATTGGAGCACTCTGGGATACCTCCTGGAGGCCAATACCATCAAATTGCACAGCGCTGCATCTACACTATTCCAAATTCAACCCAGGAGGGTTGATTTTAGTGCTACTCCCCTCATCGGGGAGGAGTACAGCAGTCGATGTTAAGAGCCCTTTAGGTCGGCAGAACGGGGTTGGTTTTGAAGATGCATTCATTATAAAATCAACCTAACTAAATTTGACCTAACCTCACAGTGTAGAGCAGGCCTTGGTTCCCTGTGGAATGGGCATCCCGGGGCCTTTCCCCACTTACCCATTGGTGGGTCCTCTTGCTGCTTCTCCTGGTCCTCTACCTCCTTTGCTCTCAGCTACAACTCCAACCGCTTCAAATCTACCGATGGGGAACCAGGTCATGAAGACCCCCTGCTGGATGCAGAACTAGGTCTGGTGAATGCCCTGGATTGCTCTGGTTGCTGCCTCTGCTGCTCCCAGCCTCTATTGGGCCTGGAACCTGCTATTTAGACTGGTCGTCCTTCTCCAGCCATGCAATCAGCCGTGCCTTGCTGAGCTTCCCAACGCTTAACGCTCTCTCCCTACAAAAGTTTGCAATGTTCTTCTTAGAGAGATGGTTATAGGCCATTTCCTCGCTCTTTCCTTTAACTTTCCTTGTTTTTCCACTGCCAGTCACTTACTGCAAGGTGCTTCTGATGCCTTCAACAGCCAACCATCTACTGGGTATGCATTTGCCAACGGTACTCTGCTATAACCTGTCATGGATCCACGGGTCTTGTGCTCTTGAATGGCTCTGGAACAGTCCCTGGGAGGAGCCCTTCACTGTGTCAGCCCACTTAGGGTCACACTCTCACTAGGGTAGTCTGGGGACCCAACATCGGAGCCTTTGGCACCCCTGCTTCTCACCGTGAGCTCCCCTCAGTGAGTCCACCTGAACTGGATACGTGGGGAAGACTTGCACACCCAAAGGGAACACTGCACCCCCAACTTCCTGACTCGGGAGTGACTCTCAGCCAGCCTTGTAAAAGCAGGAGGGTTTATGAGATGTCTGGAACACAGCGTAGAAAGTCCTTCCTTAACATAGAGAATGAAAAGTTACAGCATAGCCCATCTGGGTCAGTCCCAGAGCCCAGAACCCTCTGACCCCCCTGTAGTCCCAGTCCAGAAGCTTCTCCCTGCCTCCAACAGCCCACACTTAAGAACTCCACCTGGACACTCCCCAGTCCTTCGTCCTCCAGCTGGTCACAGCCAGCTGGATTCCTGTGGAGGTTGGTCCATCCATGGTCCTTTGTTGTTAGGCGCCAAATGTCCGGGCAATTGTAGTGGCCATTGTCTTCTGGGAGTCTCCATGGGCATGGGTACCCAGATCCCAGGCAGCTAGATGTCAGTCACACCTGTGTCTCTGAGAATCTGGAAAGGGTAAACAGCACTTTCCCCCACCTAATTAAATATGCACCACATAGGGGAAACTGAGGCACACACCATATTCATATGAAACATTATGAAAAATTCCCACTTCGTCGCACACCCATTGTGTTTTATTTGTATTAGACTGGCTGAATTTGATTACAAGACTTTATTTTCTAACATAGAGAAACAATGAACAGGGGATATACACAGGGATTTACTTTCATGGGTAGTGGATTTTGTGCCTTACAAAATGTCAGCATTCATCTGTGCATTTTCAGATACTGTGCACCCTTCTCACATAGGATGAACTGCCAACACCATGGAGAAAAATACCATCATACTGCCTATATCAGTGCTGAATATGAGAGAGTGACAGAGCTATCCACAATGGCACTTTCCTATAAGTTGTGTTACATGGACACAGTGGGGGACCACAAAAACTGTCTTAGTAACTCTATACAGATCATCTCCAATTCTTTTTCACCTTAGTGCTGAGATGTTTTCAATGGGACTTTTCAACTTAATTTTGCTTAAATCACCCAGGCAGCTTTGAAAACCTCAGGCTAAGTTATTATCTCTGAGTGTCTGCATGTTTTTGTGAAAGTCACATTTGCTGACTGCTTTCCACAAGGCTTCCTTGACCTCTCTGTTTCTCAGGCTGTAGATGAGGGGGTTTGCCAGGGGAGTCAGGACAGTGTAGCAAAGAGAGAGCACTTCGTACAGGTCTCTCAGTGTATCATGTTTCGGCAGCATGTACACAATCATTATTGTTCCATAGAAAATTGTCACCACAATGAGGTGAGAGGAGCAGGTGGAAAATGCCTTCTGTCTCCCGGTGATGGAAGGGATTCTCAGGATGGTGGTGATGACACACACATAAGAGGTCAGGGTTAGTAGGAATGGAGGCAGAGTGAATACACAGGCTAGAATGAAATCTAGCAATATGATCAGGTGTGTGTCACTGCAGGAGAGTTTTATCAGTGGGATGGATTCACAATAGAAATGGTCAATTTCATTCAGGGCACAGAATTTTAACTGTAACATGAATAATATAAAGATGGCAGTAGCCAAACAACCATTTAACCATGATCCAGCAGCCAACTGGAGGCAAAACCTGTTATTCATAAGAGTTGAATAGTGCAGGGGTTTACATATCGCTAAATACCTATCATAAGACATCGCTGCTAGGAGATAGCACTCTGTACATGCCAGGGAAGCAAAGAAATACAGTTGCGTAAAGCAGCCACTGAATGAGATGGTTTTGTCCCCAGTCAGGAGACTGGCCAGCATCCTGGGTAGGATGGTGGAGGTGTAGAAGGTCTCCAAGCAGGACAAGTTCCCCAGGAAGAAGTACATGGGGGAGTGAAGGTGCTGATCAGCCACAACGAGTGCAATGATGAGGATATTCCCGGCCACAGTTGTGATGTAGATCACTAGGAACATCAGGAAGAGAAGAATTTTCAGGTCAGGGAGATCCCCAAATCCCAGGAGGATGAATTCTGTGATGGCCGTTTGATTTCTCCTGTCTGTGTCTGCCATGGGTTGAGTCTAGGAATGGCAATCCCTTTTCTGTTTTGGATGAGAATTCCCTGTGTTAATTATGTAGCAGTATTAAACTACAGCTTGTTTTGTCCATGGGTGTTAGGAGGGTTGCAAATCTTCCTAGTTTTGCCCCTTACCTGTGGAGTGACTCATCACTCCTGAATGGTTGTGGGCTGATCATACAGGAACGAGAACGGGACTGGTGAAGAAAGATATTCCTGAACTCAGAGTCTAGAAACAATCTGGAAAGTGCTACCCTGTGATCTGTACTACCTTGTGATCCACCCCATAGGGACTCAGTCCTGTGTTCCATAAGGACTAACATGTCCCACTGAAGAACCTCAATGTTATCTACACTCTAAAGGCCTTCTCAGGTCGGGGGGCGGGTAGGGGTGAGGTGTTCAGAGAAGAGTGGCAAGAATGATTGAGATAGGAAAAACTACAATCTGAAGAGAGATTCCAAAGATCAGGATTGTTTCCTTAGAAAGGAGAGGGATAAAAGGGGACATTATAAATAATGATCTGGAGAAGGCAGAATGTGGAACTTCTGTTTTCCCTGTCCCTTACTGCAAGAATAAGGGGGACATACAATAAAATTAAAAGGTGGTAAACTTAAAATCTACAAAATGAAATACTTGTTCACACAGGGTATAGTTAAAGTGTGGCACTCACTGTGATGCTGGCAGACCAGGTGCCAGCTCCTGCCAAGGTCTCCCTGTCTCAGTGGGACACTGACAGATACACAGCTGCAATCAGCCTTGCTGCTGAGAGACGCCTGTATTACCTTTTGAAACCTCAGACTGAGACTCATTCACGGGTCTGTTTTCTTGCTTTAGTCTTGTAAATAACTCTCATTTCCTTTTCCTATTTAAGAAATCTTCATATAGTTCACTACAGCATTGGCTACAAGTGTCATCTTTGGTGTGAGACCTAAAGAACGATTGAGCTGGGGGAAGTCGGAAGTAACCTGAATATTGCCGTGATTCTTGGCGTAAGGGGCCGTGTACCACAGATACGCTCACCTGGGTGGCAGGACAGGCCGGCGCAGCCAAGGGGACTGTCGGTGAATGTCAGGGCTGTTAAAGTGCCTGAGGAGTTTGCACTCAGTGCAGTTGGTTGGCAAAATCTAAGTTTAGAATTCACAATCAATGAGGGGTTTGTGCCCTGGTTTGTAACAGTCTGCGCTGACAGTTGCAACAATCACCCTGTTGCATCCCCATTGGGAGTATCACACTCACTGCTACAGGAAGGCATTTATATGAAGGATTTAATTGGATTCCAGAAGAGATTGATATCAATATCCAGATATAAATATCCAGAGTTATCATAATTAATGGCAACAACAGTTTTGGAATGGATATTAAATCTCATGTTTGTGGGGTTAAGCCAATCTCTAACTATTATAGTCCAACATGAAACATGTGGGGGGAGATTATCCCAGAACTGCTACTGCAGTGTTCTGACATTTTCCTCTGAAACATCTAGTACTGCCCGTTCTCGGAGAACGATAGTAGACAGGATGGCCCTTGGGTGTGATCTAATCTGACAGTTCCTATATTACTACGTTCTCCTAAAGTGATACAGAGAAAACCAAAATTCCAATTAGTTCAACAAGCTACACTTTTTATACTTCAGTCTCTGATAGGCTGTTACCTGAAAAAAAGTTGACCTGGCATAGATAACTTTGTAACACTTTTTGGTGAAGATCGATACAAGAAATCATTTGAGAGGAAGTTGTCAAACTAGGGGATCTGGACATTAATTCTAATAGGAGATTAGGACACCCAATTCCTAGGTGGTTTTGCAAATCTCAATCTTAGCCCTTCTGCAATGTCTGTATCTTCTTTATTCCCTGATGTTTCAGTGGACCCGTGGATTCTCTTGCAACCTGCCTGACTCAGATATAGTGAAACAGTTTTTGTCATTTACTTTTAACTAAGACCATTTGTTCTTCAAATTCCCTCTTATGCTCCTAATTTCATTCTTAAACTTTACCCACCTCACATGCCACTTGAATGTTCCTTTCTGTCAGCTTAACTTAGTTTTGATTTCGATTATTCTCTTCCATGCTTCACCCTAGTTACCCTGAGCCAGATCGCCAGCTGGTATTAATCAGCCATAGCTTCCCTGGAGTCAATGGGCCAGATCCCCAGGTGAGGACCTTTCACAAGACATGTATCTCAATTTCCCCATTGTTAAATGGTGCTATTAACACCGACTGGCACTGCTGTGGGAAGGTGAGGCTAAAACTCCTAATATTCACAGAGACAAGGTGAGTGAGATAATATCTTTTATTGGACCAACTTCTGCTGGTGAGAGAGACAAGCTTTCGAGTTGAGCTCTGTGTGGCTCGAAAGCTTGTCTCTCTCACCAGCAGAAGTTTGTCCAATAAAAGATATTACCTCACCCACCTTGTCCTCTAATATCGTGGGACCAACACGGCTACAATAACACTGCATACATTATTCACAAAGCACTTTCATGCCCCTGTTTGGAAGGTGGTATAGAAATGCAGTCAAGAAGAGGGTGCTCACCTGTAAACATAGGATGATTCAAGCTTCAAGCGATGAGCTCTTATTTCTCAGGGTTTGGCAGTTAGGACTCTGTTTCTACCACTGAGGTTTTTGGGTCTCGTTATTTGATAGAAACTGGCTCTTCTCAGCAATGACACCTGCATCTACCTGAATGGATGAGCAGCTGCTGCGATCTGTCTTAGAGCATGGTCCGCCCCCTCTATTTACGAAGTGCAGAGTCCTTATATTTGTATCCTTCTCCATGGAAGGCTGCGTCTCCCTTGATTCCATCTCTGAAGAGGTTGAGCCTGGGGAGTTAGCGCTATGTTTTCTGTGCAGACAGTACAAACAACTGTCTGATGCAACCAACCTCCCTCGCCCAGAAGAATCACCTTTCTGCTACCAGCTGTATGAGGTCATTACTCTGCATGGCTGAAATGTAATGTAGCGCCCCTGGCATGCATGGCCATGCAGGGACTGACTCTACTCAGCAATCTTTACTCATGTCAGTTGTCCCATTGCCTTTGTAGTAGAAGAAGGGAGCCTGAGAAATGAGGCCTGGTATAAGGGGCCTGGTATGAGACCTAAGGCCTGAACTAAAGTAGTCAGGCCCAGCTGATATAAAACAAAGATAGGAAAAGTCAGGCTGTGAACAGAAGTCAGGCCCTGTTATAAAACATGCCTACTTGCAAGTTCACAGAACCTGGCAAGAACAGGGCCGGTATTGCAAAAACAGAAACATTCCTAAGAAGTGCTAGGCACAGGACACGCATGTAAACTCATTCCAGAAGTGTAGTACCAGAACACCCCGATACCAAGTATGGTGTAAACACACTCCCCAAAGATAACAGGGACACACTGACGGCTCCTAAAGATAAGGTGAGGATAACAGGGTGATGGATAGAGATGTTCTGATCGAACCAGCAGGTACAAAGTAAAGTGGTAACTAACCACGTCAGAGGGTCAACAGGTAACTTGTTTGTATCAGTGTATAAAATAGGGGTCACAGAGGGGGTGTCTTCATCCAGATGAAGGGGGAGTGGAGAGTCCCACCGCTCACTGAGCTGAGTCCATTCTAATGGGCATACATATGTTAGTGTACCTGTAGTACGTATAGGATGCAAGGACCATGCTTCGTTGACAATAAACCTGGCTGAGTGCCTCCGTCATGGAACCGAATCTGTAGTTTTCTTGGGCAGTTCAATCGGAGTTTGCTAGGCCAGCTTTTTGCGCAGAGCTGGTGCAGCACACAGAGAGAACACACACAGAGCCGACAAGTGACAACAGCCTTCAATGGAAGAATTGCACAAGTAACAATGGCTAACATGACTCAGGCTTACCTGACTGGGTGCTGAAGCCACGCAGTTTAACAAACACACAGGAAACTTAATGTAAAGTAAATTTAATCCATAATTTGAAAATGAAAGATTTGGATGAAAGAATCTCTCTCACACACTCCCCAGTGAAAATATTTCTCCCAAGGAACTTTGATGTTATTAGTAATTACCAATGTTTGTTTATTTAACCATATTCCCACCCTTCTGCTGAGCGGTAGCAGAATTCAGGGTCTTGCAGATTGGTTTTCCATTGGCGTAGAATCCAGTGATGTGGAGTCTGGGTAATTGCTTAGCGTAACTTGTTTGATTTTACACTATATACACCAGTTCTGGAGCAGAAGTGGCCATAGAAAAAATGCAAGGAGTCCCCGCTTTTAGGGATCTCAGCCTATATGCCAGGAGCAGGACTAGCATGCAAGGACCTTCCCTCACACAGTACTTTCAGCCCAGGACCCTAAGGGTGAAAGCTGCGTCATCACCAGCAAGTGGGAGCTGGGCAAGGCAGTAACTTCTTACTATGATCTCTCTGATGAGTGTTGCATGCTTGTCTCTAATGTTTTTCATCATGAACTAACTGTTCACATATTTTCGATGCAACAGCCCTCTTGGCTGTATCATAATAGCTATTGCAATAGTTTCTCTATAGTCCCAGTGTCATTCCTGGGATGTGTCCTATGGGTTGACTGACCATTCTGTGTGTTGGAGTCTCATTTCTGAGAGATTCCTGCCTCTCCCAAAGGAACAGAAAATAAATAGTTTGAAATGGGAAAGTAAATGTCCAACCTTTTCAGTCCTGAGGCTACTGGAATTATGCACAGTGACCACTTTTTGGGGAAACCCTGTTTTAAAGTGAACTTCTTAGATTTTCTGATCTCTTTGATTTGGCCAATGTTCATCCCAAGCGTCACTGAGTTCTCAAATCTGTACTTACAAAAGTGCCAGAGAGACTGTAGAGTTGACAGTTTGAAAAGGGTTTTCCATAAATGTGTCCTTTTATAGTCAGCTCTTTTTGAGCCTCTGTCTGGTGACAGAATGGAACCTGGACATTTGGAGGCTGCCTAACGCATCTCCCCTATCCCTGGTCTTATGACTCAAGAGATGGGTAGTGGGACAACGTATTCGAACTCGCATCCTAAATGAAAATACCTGAGGTGGTGAAAAGCAGCATTAAGTACAGAGTAACTGCACAGGGTTGCTCTAAGGTAACTAACCTGTGGGCATGTCATGGTTATTATTAAGCTGCAAAGCATTACCGTTTGGAATGTCAGGGATTGGATATTTACATGGATATCAGTAATGTTCAGAGATATCATAATTAATGACAACCAACATTCTGGAAGGGATATTAAACCTCATCCTTCAGGGCTTGAGCCAATCTCTAAGTATTAGAGATCAAGCTGTGAGCTATATGGGGGTCAGGTTATCCCACATCTGCCTCCTGTGGGGTTCTTCCACCTTTCTCTTAGGGCAGGTCTTCACTACGGGGGGGGAGAGGGGGTCGATTTAAGATACGCAAATTCAGCTACATGAACAGTGTAGCTGAATTCGACGTATTGGAGCCGACTTACCCTGCTGTGTGGACGGCGGCAAAATCGACCTCCGTGGCTCCCCATCGACGGCGCTTACTCCCACTTCCACTGGTGGAGTAAGAGCGTCGATTCCGGGATCGATTGTCGCGTCCCAACGAGACTCGATAATTTGATCCCCGAGAGATCGATTTCTACCCGCCGATTCAGGCGGGTAGTGTAGACCTAGCTCTAATCATCTAGGTCTGGTCACTGTGAGGCAGGATATTGGACTAGATAGATCTAGTGTCTGATCCAGTCTAGCAATTCCCATGTTCCTATGGCAACAGAATAGGTAAAACTGTGGTCATTCTGCACAAAGCACAGACCAATATCTGTGTTCTAGCAGATGAGGGCACATTTGACAAGATCTAGCTTCATCCAGCAGAGGGCAGTCCCCCCAGCCCAGTTCCTTATTTTGATATTGTCTATAGATCCATTCTGTTTCTGTATCACACAATTCTACATACAAATGCTTTCCAGAAGTTGGTATACAAGCATGAAGTTCTCATTTTTTTAACCCAAGTTTTCTCACAGGAACCTAAATAAAATTGTTGTTTCAGCTTTTCGGCAACAAACTACTTGATTTATTTTATTTATTTATTATTAAAATGGTTGCAAAATAGATTGGGAAAACATTATTCCCAACCCATTTTCGGGTTGATTGGTTGGTTTTTATGGTGATGGTGTTTGAACTTTTTAATAAGGGTCCCACTTCAACCTATCTTTCAGCTGACTAATTTTGTGTCTCCAAATCTTTGTTGCAGACATTGCCCAATGTGACGTATTGATTCCTCATGTAACCCTTCTGCCAGCTGGAATCAGCAGCAACAAGAGCCGGGTTCAATATCTAGGGGTTCCTTTCCAACAGTACAACACAAAATTGGCCTGAGCCCCCAACTGGTAACCTGAGACAATTACACATCACCCCTTGGGAGCCTCTAGAGGCAACACTTCCCCTCTCACAAGCAGAGAGTCTTAGTGTAGAAAAGAAACTTAATAAAAAGGGGGACAGTAACCTGGCTTTAACTCGGGAAAATGCTGCAAGCAGGATTCATAACATAAAACAATGAGCAAAACACTCACTCCAGAGTACGTTGGACAGTGTACTTGTGCCTCGGGTTCTTAAGTCCAGCAACCAAAAGTTCCTTTAGCGCACCCCTCTTTTCACCACACCACACTCACAGTTATTGTCCTTGGTCAGTGAAGACCCAGAGTTCAGAAGTGTATCTGAGTGAGTTCACCTTGCTCGATCCACTGCCCAAGTTATTGCCCTGATATCTCCTGCTCCGCCAGCTGCTCCCTGCACCCTATGGAGTGGTTTGAGAGCCAACCACTTAACACAGCTCTTCGCGATTTCAGCTGTTAGTGGACAAACCCCACTACTAGTACAGACTGGACTGTCTCTGGCATCAGAAACACTGCCACAAAACAGGTCTAATGCTTAAAACTGATAATTAATTATTTCAATTCTGTTGGTTTGTAACAAAACTCTCAATTAAGTCTTTCTTAACTCTATTATTATACAGGGGAGAAAAAAAGAGCCAGAAAGTGTTTGGTCCTTTTCACCAAAGCCCACAACACAATCAACTTATCCACACCCTCTTTCTATTCTACTGGGCTTTGGCATCCATGTCCTCTGCTTAGTGAATGCAGTTTAGCTGAGGGTGAGTCCCCCCATCAGGGTCTGCCAAGTACAGTTTTGCTGCCCTTGATCCCCACAACAAGGATACACAACCCTTTATTTCCCCTGCTCCAATAACAAAGTGATTTGTGATCCAACACCACCAAAAGTCATTATTTGGGCAAAGCATTTCCATCATGCCTAGTCAGAGTGGGCGTGTCTATGCAAACAAGCTCAGTTCATGAAGTCTTCTTCCCCAGCTCATCACTAGATGTCAGGGGAAAGTTCATGCAGACCCTGCTTACACTTATAAAAGTGAAAAAAAATCTTACGGGGCGGGGGGGGGGGAAATACTTCACATAATGATGAAACACTAGGTGATGGCCTGTTAAAACCTATTGCCCCTATAATAATAAATAACATTTCGCCTATATCTGCTACCATCTACTGGGCATTTCAGAAAATAGCTGCCCATTTCTCCTGCTTAAAATATGCTGCCCTCTAGTGGACACCTTCCAGCATCACTGACCTTTCCTTTTCACAGTACATTACATTACTTTATCCTGTTCTGAAATATATTGGCTAATACTTCTGACCTTTCCTCATTTCTTTCAACATGCTGCCCCTAGGGTCGATTACACAGCACGACAGTCTATTGCTCTGTTCTTACCCTCTGCTCTCTTCTGGAGTGAACTACTGTGGATGCTGTAGCTGTCTCTTTCCATCCTTGATGCTCTTGTGTCCCCATTGGTAATTATTCAGTATAACAGCCCATTTCTTGTCCCTTAGCATCTCCTACCATTTCACATTCCTTGTTCCACGATGGTACACTTTTCCTATCTTTAGGTAGTGTTGGTAACCTAGGACTACCTAGGCTGGCAGTCTCTGATTTCCTTATTAACACAACTTCAGAATTCCTCAATAGCTTCATTTATACATTGCTCACTCACATGCCTCACTTTGGTTTCTAAAGATATTTCCAGTTCATTACATACCATAGAGGTCCATTGATCCACAAAATTATTTCCTCACCATTTCACTGATGCCTTCTAGTCTGTATTACACAGCTTTACATCTGTCCACTTCCCTTTGCTGGTCATTTGGCAACATAACTTCACCTTTCATGACTTCCACTTTGGCTGCTATCCACTGGGCAGAACCGCTGCACCTTTCCCATTCCTCCACCCTCTAGTGACCATAGAAAGCATAATCACATCTTTCCTCATTTCTTACCTACTGCTAGGTGTGCGCTGCTCCAAATTAGAGCCACTGGGAACAAAACGGTACAACAGCATGATTGCAGCATTAGTGGCTACAAAAGCACATACAACAATAGCAGTGGTTCTCAAAGGTTTAGCAGCGGCTTCCCATCCATCCAGTGCATTTCTGTTGCTGTGGGGTCTGTTTCCAATGGAAATGCATAGATTGAACCTGTAATAGAGAGAGCCTGAGACTTAAGGCTGAGTATAAGGCCTAAGGTCTGAACAGTGGTCAGGCCCTGCTGCTTTAAAGCAAAATCAGGCTGGGAGCAGAAGTCAGGCTCTTACAAAACATGCCTGCTGGCAGGTTAACTCTCTGATACATGAACTTGGGAATAACAGAACTGGCATAGCAAAAACACAGGAACTCCTAGGCACTAAGCACTCATGTAAACACATTCCAGAGGTATGGTAGCAGAATACCCCGATACCAAGAATAGTACACACACACTTCCCGAAGATAACAGGAACACAGTGACCCCTTCTAAAGATAAGGTCAGGATGACAGTAAGATGGTGTAAGGAGCCAGGGTGGTCTCCCTCCGAACCAGAGGGTAAAGAGCCACTCTCTCTGCCTGAGTGTGCGGGGCGAGGCCAAGCTTACTCCACCCCCTTGGAAGGGGAGAGGTGGAACAGGAAGTACAAAAGGCGGGGCCCTTAGCCCAGTGAGGGCTGCACCAGGGACGGAGACAGACACAGACTGCTGGCTGTTCCCTGCAGACCCTGCTGCCAGTCCAGGGGAGGTCCTGGACCCAGGGAAACCTGATCTGGAAGAAGGACTCTGGATACCAGGACTGCCAGTTGCAGACTACCCAGAGGAACGGGAGGAGCCGGGCAGCGGCCCGAGCCCGAATAAGCCAGAACCTGAGGGTGAGTTGGAGCTACCAAGACTACCGGCTGCAGAATACCCTGACATATGGGAATAACCCGAGGGACCTGCTCGAGAGACAGAGTAGGAAGTAGCCCAGGGGCAGAACTGGACAGTGCAGTGAGTCAAAGTGTGATCAGCGTGTTGCGGACAGATCCCCGCTGACCCAGTGGCGGGACCTTCTCTTCCCGCCACTGGCAGGGCCCTGCGCTGCAACACAGTGGATTTGGGTGGGCCTGCGTTCCCCTACCCCTACCACCCCATCTCAGGGTGGCTGAACCCTAATAATGAGCTTCAGACACTTGCCGGCACTCCCCTGCCTGAGGGGCATGCCACAGACTCTTGCCGGCACTCTCCTGCCGGAGGGGCGCATCCCAGATGCTTGCGGACACTCCCTTACTTGAGGGGTGCGCCACAGACTCTGGCGGATACTCCGTGGCCGCACCAATTGTGACAGTGCATCTCCCATTGCCAATTCCCCGTTGATGGAAGTGACCAAGGCCTTTTGGCAAAGCAGTAACTCCCCACCGCCCCCCAAGCTGTTGGGGGGCGGTGGGGAGTTACAAAGGAGAACTGATTTTTAAATTTTATTAAGATGATGTTTAAAAAAATTGTGAACAGAGTTTGAGCATAGTATAAAAGTTGCAAAGGGGGTGTCTTTGGCCAGCCGAGAGGGCAGTGGAAAGTCCCTCTACTGACTGAGGTGTGTCTATTGTCACAAACATACCTGTCTTAATATCCCTGCAGAGTCTGTCGGGTGCTATTACTGTGCGTTATGAGCAATAAACCTGGCCAGGCACCTTTGCTACAAACCGAGTCTGTGGATTTATTGGGCAGTTTGACCGATCTGCTGTCTGCACTATCTGTGCAGAGCTGGTACAACACACTGAGAGAACACACACAGACGCAGCCAAAAAAAACATTTTATGACAGACCCTAGGGTGACAGAATCCCAGTGACTCTTCAGGTTGAGATTTTCAGAGGCATCTAAGAGAGTCAAGTGTCCAACTCTCATTTCAAAGGGAATTGGGTGCCTAAATCCATGAGGTCGCTTGGAAAATGGTTTCTGTAGGGCTCAAACTACTGTTCTCACTAGAGCCCAGCTTCCCTGCCTCTGGCCAAACTATGACATGCTCCCAGTGACTGATCCAGCACTGCCATTTTGACATCACAGGAGTTCTGCCCGTTGGTAGGTTGTAGCCACTTCCTCTCGCTATAGGTTGCCTCATGTCCTGAGGGGAGGGCCCTGCGAGGAGCAGAGCTGTCTAAGGCACCTGGAGCTGGCTGGACACGGTGCCCTGAGACCTAGTCCTCTTGAGATGTGCACTTATTGCAGTCAGGTTTGGGGACACTCATTGTAACAGGTCCCCTACCTTTGAACTGCTCTGTGTAGCTAGCAGCAGTAAAGCATCTTCTGCCCTACAGAAGCTGAGTCCCTCCCCGGTGACTGTTTGACAGACCTGACCCCAGAAATGGCCTCAGTTCTACGAGTGCCCTGTCAAACCCCCAGCTGGGTCTGGACAGTTCCATTATCCCTGGCTTGTGAGTCTACCTCTTTGTTTGCCCAACCTCTCTGCCTCCAGGGGCCCAGTGAGCCTGGTGCTGTTGCTTTGCCGGAGCTGGTCACAGCCAGGTTTAGTTCAGATAAGAGCTATAAAGCTGTTCCTGGTGAAGTGTCCAGAGGTCACTGCTGGGGCTTGGCTGTTTACATCCGGCCTGTGTGAGTGTGATGAACGTGGTTGGTTTGCAGGGGGATATGGTGGGGATGGAATTAGGCAAATTTCAGAGGTGGCAGATTTTCCAGGTTTACAACCCCACATAGGCTGCACCAGGAATTAGTATTTTAAGGTCCAAACATTTATTTTGATAAAAAATGGCTTTTTCCAGAAAAAAATGGTTAAAATTGTCTCCGCTCCTGGTGCCCAGCTGAAAACGTCATGATGGGAACATGGTTTTGGTCACCTCCCTCCCTGGTCCTTCCACTTAGATGGACAACACTAAGTGCTGAGATTTTCAATGTGAGTTTTCAACTTAATTTTAATGGAGCTGTATGATGGGACCCCCGGGGTACAACCTTGAGCTGTGGGACCGCTGTGCCCCCTTACCCTCTCCAGCCTGGGTTCTCACTCATGATGCTTTAATATGACAAGCAGCAACCTCTCCCACCCCCTCCCCTGGCTGTTATCACTCAGTCACCAGCATACAGAGACACACTCAACTGAGTTTCATGAATGCTCTCCAAGCTACTTATGAACTATACAGAGGGAGGCACCAGCAAATCCCCCGCAGCCTTGCACCCTCAGAAATGTATCATCTTAAACTGCTCAAGACCTTCTTTTGAACAATGAGACAGTGGACATGCGCCAGCCCTTGTAATCTGTGCAGATTCCCCAAGCATTTTAGCAAACTCACTGGTTAAGATTAAACATTAAAATACATTTCTTAACAACAGTTATAATCACTTAAAATCTATCTCTGACCTTTCTGCCTCAGAAATAAAAATTAAACACGCATTTTAAATCCTAAACTTGGATTTGAGTCAAACAGATTTTTTCACCCCACTGGATGCTGCAGCCAGGTTACAGTTCTTAACACACAGGCTGAATTCCCTTCTCAGCCTGGGACCAATCTCTCCAGTTCAAAGTCTTTGTCTTCCCAGCGTTCTTGTTGCCTCCAGAATAGGTGGGGGAGGAGAGAGGTGGTCTCATGATGCCACTGTCACTTATTTTATACTGTCAATTCATGTCCCTGGAAAAATACTTGCCCAGACATGTCCTGGTGGGCCTTCCTGAGTCACAGAGTTCAGCAATTCCCATTGTGCGGTGCTTGTGCAACTGTCTCTCTCTTTTTTTTTTTAATTAATGGAGACATACTATCTCCTAGAACTGGAAAGGACCTTGAAAGGTCATTAAGTCCAGCCCCCTGCCTTCACTAGCAGGACCAAGTACTGATTTTGCCCCAGATCCCTAAGTGGACTCCTCAAGGATTGAACTCACAACCCTGGGTTTAGCAGGCCAATGCTCAAACCACTGAGCTATCCCTCCCCCCACTCTTATGGAATTACATTACGCAAGAGGATAAATGGACACAAGTCAGATATCAGGAATGGCAATATACAAAAACCTGTAGGAGAACAGGATTAAACAAAGACTGTGAATGGCTATCCAACTACAGAAGCAGTTTCTCCTCCCTTGGTGTTCACACCTCAACTGCTAGCAGAGCACCTCACCCTCCCTGATTGAACTAACCTCGTTATCTCCATACTGCTTTATACCTGCCTCTGGAGATTTCCATTACTTGCATCTGAAGAAGTGAGGTTCTTACCCATGAAAGCTTATGCTCCCAATACTTCTGTTAGTCTTAAAGGTGCCACAGGACCCTCTGTTGCTTTTTACAGATTCAGACTAACACGGCTACCCCTCTGATACTCTTACAGAATTGCAAACCTCTTGTTTACAATTCCTCTGCTGGTCAATGGCTGGTGATGGTTGTTTAATGCCCACCACCTCCTTTGTTCTTACTGGAGAACTAACAGTGGGCGACTCCCAGACTCCCTACATATTTTAATAACAACCATATAACAAAATCTCATACCACCATATACAATGATAATATACATATTTTAACAGAAGAATGAGTTTCAACAGATCATAACCTTATATATGACACCTTACAAGGAATGCTTTTTTACCAAATATTACAACCATATACAAAAGATAAATATGAGGGTTACAGGGTGCTTCTTTGACGTACAGTGCATCACAGACTTATTGCTTCACTCACTGAGGCAGCTTTCAAAACCTCTGTTATCTCAGAGTCTCTGCATGTTTTTTGTGAAAGCCACATTTACTGACTGCTTTGCTCAAGACTTCCTTGACCTCTCTGTTTCTCAGGCTGTAGATGAGGGGGTTCACAAGGGGAGTTAGGACTGTGAAGCAAAGAGAGAGCACTTTCTTCAGATCTGAGTCTATCACGTTTCGGTACCATGTAGACAATGATAATGGTTCCATAGTAAATTGTCACCACAGTGAGGTGAGAGGAGCAGGTGGAAGATGCCTTTTGCCTCCCGGTGGTGGAAGAGATGTTCAGGATGTTGGCGATGATACACACATAGGATGTCATGGTTAGTAGGAATGGAGGCAGGGTGAATACAGAGACTATTATGAAATCCATCAATATGATCTGCTGGCTGTCACTGCAGGAGAGTTCCATCAGTGGGATGGGATCCCAATAGAAATGGTCAATTTCATTTGGGCCACAGAATATTAACTGTGATAGGAATAAGACAAAGATGGTAATAGAGAAAAAACCATTTAACCATGACCCAGTAGCCAACTGGAGGCAAAACCTGGTATTTATATGAATTGAATAGTGCAGGGGTTTACATATCGCTAAATACCGATCATAAGACATCGCTGCTAGGAGATAGCATTCTGTAGCTGCCAGAGAACCAAAGAAATACAGTTGTGTGATTCATCCACTGACTGAGATGGTTCTGTCCCCAGTCAGGAAACTGGCCAGTAACCTGAGCAGGAAGGTCGAGGTATAGCAGGTCTCCAAGTAGGACAAGTTTCCCATGAAGAAGTACATGGGGGTGTGAAGGTGCTGACCAGTGACAACAAGCACCACAATGAGAGTGTTCCCAGTCACGGTTGCAATAGAGATCACTAGGAACATTAGAAAAAGAAGAATTTGAAGGTCAGGGAGATCCCCAAATTCCAGGAGGATAAATTCTGCGATGGTCGTTTGGTTTCTCCAATCTGTGTCTGCCATGGGTTGAGTCTAGGAACAAAAAAAACAAGCTGGGCAATTGAATTGGAAGAACATAGCATTAAAAGTTAATCAAATCTCATGAATTAATACCATAAATATTCAGAATATCCCCTTCCTCTACTGGTTACAGGTTGAAATGTTAAGGCTAAATGTAGACTTCAGAACAAAGTGCCAGGAGTCTCAGTCGGAGTCCCTGAATTTCAATTGGCTCTATGACATTGGAGCACTG